GCTATTCACGTAGCTGAATTTGCGTATCTTAAATCGACTCCCCCCTGTAGTGTAGATGTACCCTGAGTGACTTGCCCGGGGTGCCGCATACACATGGTCTGTGATCAAGCCCAGAGTCCCTGTCTGGCACCCTAACTGCTGAGCCATCGTTCCTGGCAAAGCAGAGGGTGAAAGTGCTGTCTCCAAGGCCAGCTGTAAGTAGAAGCAAAGAATTTGGCATCTGGCAGCATCACACCACATGAGCACTGGAGTTCATGGGCCATCTTTGCTTCTCCTCTGGGACTTGCTGATTCTCTCTGCCCCCGCCATGTGAACTAGGGATAAATTGATGATGCAATGCTGTGTCAGCACTGGCAGCATAAGGTGTGACTCTGGCATGTGGAGGCTTGAGTCCGGGTGTGACCAGGAAACTTCCCTGGCCTGGTAACCTCTTTCATAATTATACTGTGGGCGCTATCTGATTGCCCAGCTGTGTCTGATTGCTCCTCTTCCAGAGCTGTATCATCTGTCTGTCTTGCAGATACTGGGTGTGGCACAATTTACACCTCAGACGATCGAGGCCTCATCTACTCCAAGTCCCTCGAACGGCATCTCTATACTGGCATTGGGAGTGAAACTGACTTCACCAATGTGACCTCACTGCGGGGCGTCTATATCACCAGCGTGCTCTCTGAAGGCAAGCGCTCGCTCTTGGGGGATGGGCTGCACCCAGCAGGAGGCTGCGGTAGAGCAAACTCCTCAGCCCCGGCACTGGGGAAGGGCCCGGGCTAAAGCTTCAGTTGAGGCAGAACCTTTCTCTTGAATGCCCCTCCCTGTTCCTGGGGGGCGCGATTCTCCTGGGGTCTGCACCAGGCCTCAGGAATGCCTTGGGGCCCACCGAGGCCCAGGAAGGATGGGGTGTATCTCTGCTGTCCTTTGCCTGCTCCTGTTTGAGTCCAACCCTTACGCTGTCTGTGGGGCTCGCTCGGGCCTGGCTTACAGGACTGGATAGCGTGCAGTCCTTGCTCATGTGAGTAGCCCCATTGAAGTCAGTGGGCCCAGTCCTGCTCCCATTGATGTTGGTGGGCCTGCTCACAGGAGTAAAGTAGCGGCTGGCCCCTGGGTGCAAAACAACTTTCAGTCCAACACCCTTTCTCTGCTCACGTGTGAGTCTCCTGCGGGGCTGGAAGTGGCCACATTTGGGTTCAGCCCGGAGGTCTTCAGGGAAGAGCCTGGGCTGGCTTCCAAAAGCCTCGACAGATTTATTCTGGCTGGGGCAGGGGGCGAGACCTAGACCTTTCTATACACAGGACTCTACTCATTGAGCTTGAAAGCATCAGGTTGTTGGCAGAGCCCTGCTGGGGTTCTGTGCTGCTCAGCAGGCTATGGCACTAGGCAGGCACACCTGGGGGCGTCACTGGGAGGAAACACAGCACTCTCACTGGCGTGTCTGGATTTGCAGTTGAACCGGGGCAGTGATGTACAAAGGGAGGCGAGTAGTCTATGGCAGTATGAGCCAATATGGTGAACGGCACTAACTGTGCCATGCAGGTCCATTCTGCCTTCTAAGGCACAGCAAGGAGGGAGCTTAATAACGATTAAAAAAATCCTTGAAACTTGCATGTTCCTTCTTTGTCTGCAAGGATGGTTCTTCGCCTCTGCTGTCTCCTGGACAGCCTGCTGGTGTAACTGGGGAGCTTTCTAATTGCCCATTACTGAACTACTAGGCTGAACCAATCCTTGGGGTCCTACTAGGCTTGAAGTCCTGAACTGGAACAGTCTCAGTGCAGTGATTGCAGCTGGAGAGAAACTGCCTCGGTGCAGTCTAGCAGGCGCTCTCTACACTGGGAAAACGTGCAGCAGAAATATACATGGGTCAGCTGCCAGGGAGAAATAGACTCGTCTCCTTCTGCTGCAGCCAGGCTGCCTGTTTCATGGGGGTGGGATGTCTGCTAGATGGACCAAGACAGACTGTATTGCTGTCTTCAATGGGAGGGCTGAGTTGGAGTGAGCTGAGTGGAATACAAAACACTGAGGGTTTCACACCAAGTGTTTCCCCCTCCCCCCTATCCCCCCCCAGACCGTTCCATCCAGTCGGTGATCACGTTCGACCAAGGTGGCGAGTGGCTGCCACTGAGGACGCCTGTCAACGCGAAGTGTAACTCCACAGCAAAGAACAAGGAGGAGGTTTGTCTGTCTGGGATCCCAGGGCAGCCAGGCTCGGGTGTGGGGCACTGCCATGTGTCGGGACGCGGGCAGGGCAGACTTGGCCCCATAGTTAATTTTTTGTAAGCAATCTTTTATTTAAGACCACTGCATCTTCCCATGCGTGAGTCCAAGGGGACCTATTCCTGTGGCAGGGCTAGCGGCCAGAGACTGCAGCATCAGGCCTGTGTGCGACGACTGTCTGCTCAGTTTATTTGCATCCTGCAGCGTGAGTGAGATGCGTAATAAAGTAAACTTCAATAGCGACACCAGCCAAGACTTAACAATGTGTTAATCCAGGCTATTATGGGGTATCTTTGGGGACAGACGGCTGCCTTTCCTCTGTGGCTGGTCTGTGCCTCGCACAATATGGAAATGGCAGAAGCAGTTAAAGGTAAAGGTAAAGAAGCAGGTAAAGGTCCCTGGCTCTACATTAATTGAGTGGCCCAGGGTGGGCACAAACCTGAGCTGGGCTTTGCTGAGATGCTGGTGGGAACATGCCAGGAAGACACTCCCCTCTCCCCCCAATGTGTCGTCTTGTCTCCTAACCTGGATTTTCTGGTGTTGTTCACAGTGTAGCCTTTACATCTATGCATTGTACGGCATCTCCCTGAATCACAACGTACCCATGCTGCCTCTGTCCGAGCCCAATGTGGTGGGAATAGTCATCGCTCACGGTAACAAACCCGACTGCTATCAACACAGGGAGAGGGCAAGTGGAGGGGTTATGTGGGTGGGGCAGAGGGGACTCTCAGGATCCATCCTCTGGGCCTTGGGCTGGCAAGTGACAGGTTTAATCCATTTGGGGTGAGTTGCTCGTTCCTACAGAGCAAGGCTGGGGGGCAGGGGAAGGTCAGAGGAAATAAGTCTGTCTGCCCCCGAGGAAGGGACACTTCCTGGACTTGCTCTAACCCCCATGGTGTTGGGCCCTGTGTTGCAGGCAGCGTGGGGGATGCCATCTCTGTGGTGAGCCCAGACGTTTACATATCTGATGATGGGGGCTACACCTGGGCACGGGTGCTGGAAGGACCCCATCACTATGCCATCCTGGACTCCGGGGGCATCATCGTAGCCATTGAGCACAGCCTCGAGCCGATCAATGTGATTAAGTAAGCCTGAGCTCCACTTGCTAAAGGGGATGGGGGTGGGATCTGTTCTCCGGTTCCGGGAAGCTCTGGTGAGCTGTAAGCGGAGCTCTGTCCATATAGATTGGTGCTGAGGGAGAAACTAGGCTGCTGTCAGTGTTGGGATTTCCCCTCCCTCCCTTGTTCTGCAGCTGCTCAAAGGATGTTCTAGGGGAGTGGGGCTGTTCAGAGGGGAAGGAGCCCTCTCCTTTGGGCAGATACTGCTTTGTGCCTAGTGCTCTGTTGGTAAGCTCCCCCTTCTGGGCCTTCACTCCTGTGCACAAGCGAAGCTGCGCGGCCTGTGCTGTCTTTCCACACCTCCTCACCTTTGAACGTAATGGGGTCACAGAAGGTTCCACCTGGTCTCTCCTTGATTGTGACCCCAGCTCCTCACTGTAAGCCTTTTCTGTCTAGGTTCTCGACGGATGAAGGCCAGTGCTGGCACAAGTACACTTTCTCCAAGGAGCCCATTTACTTCACCGGTCTGGCGTCGGAGCCAGGAGCCAGATCTATGAACGTCAGCCTCTGGGGCTACAGAGACTCTGTCTTGCCCCGCAAATGGGTCTCCTACACCATTGACTTCAGTCATCTCCTCAGCAGGAACTGTGAGCTTCTCTTGCTTCCTTCCTTTCCATACAGAGATGGGGGTGCGGAAGGGCTGAGGGGCAAAGTGGGGGAGCAATCTGAATAGATGAGTATGGACGCGGTAGGACTGAGGGTTACAGACTGGATACAGAATGCTCCCATAACAGTGGAACATATTCTCCAGAGAGGCTACTGTAGAGTGACTGTGCCTCTCTGCTGTAGACTGCACACATCACACTGCTGCTCCCTTTCACACCTGGGCATGCTTGTGGGATTTCATGCAGGAATCCAAATTAAGCTGCAGCAATTGGAATCCCCCGACCCCAGATTTCCTACGGTTTGGTCCTATCTAGAATAATAGGGTTAGAAGAGACCGCAAAGGTCAGCCAATCCAACCCCCTGCCAAGATGCAGGACTTGTGTCTAACCCAGGGGTGGGCAAACTATGGCCTGGGGGCCGCATCCAGCCCTTCAGATGCTTTAATCTGGCCCTTGAGCTCCTGCCGGGGAGCAGGGTCTGGGGCTTGCCCTGCTCCATATGTGCCGTGGCTCTGCACGGCTCCCGGAAGCAGCGGCATGTGTGTTCCTCCCCCGCCCCCCCGACTCCTACGCGTAGGGGCTGCCGGGGATTCCACATGCTGCCCCTACCCCAAACGCCGCCCCCACATCTCCCATTGGCCGACAACCATGGCCAATGGAAGCTGCAGGGGCGGTACCTGTGGACGGGGCAGCGTGCAGAGCTGCCTGGCCAAGCCGCCGCGTAGGGGCTGGAGGGGGGACATGCCGCTGCTTCCGGGAGGAGCTTGAGGTAAGTGCCACCCGGAGCCTGCCCCCCGACCCCCCCCCAGCGCCCCAACCCGCTTCCCCAGCCTTGATCCCCCTCCCGCACCCTGAACTCCTCATTTCTGGCCCCACCCCAGAGCCCGCATCCCCAGTCGGAGCCATCATCCCCTCCCGCACCCCAACCCCCAATTTCTTGAGCATTCATGGCCCACCATACAATTTCCATACATTAAAAGATGTGGCCCTTGGTCCAAAAAGTTTGCCCACCTGGTCTAACCCATCTCAGACAGATGGCTCCAGCCTCCTTTTGAAAACCTCCAGTGAAGGAGCTTCCACAAGCTCCCTAGGCATCTGTCCCATTACCTTGTTGTTTTTATGGTTAGGGAGCTTTTCCTGAGGTTTAATCTAAATCTGCTGTGCTGTAGTTTGACTCCATCACCTCTTGTCCTGCCCTCTGTGGCCAGAAAGAACAACTTTTCTCCATCTTTTTATGGCAGCCTTTCAAGTATCTGAAGACCGTTATCATGTCCCCGCTTAATCTCCTCTTTTCCAAACTAAACATAGCCAGTTCCTTCAGCCTTTACTCATATGGCTTGTGTTCCATCCCTCTGATCATCTTTGTCACTGGCCTCTGGATCCTTTCCAGTTTCTCTACATCCTTTCTCGACATTGGTGACCAAAACTGGACTCCGTACTCCAGCTGAGGCCTAAGCAGCGCCAAGTAGAGCGGTACTATCATAGAATCATAGAATATCAGGGTTGGAAGGGACCTCAGGAGGTCATCTAGTCCAACCCCCTGCTCAAAGCAGGACCAATCCCCAACTAAATCATCCCAGCCAGGGCTTTGTCAAGCCGGGCCTTAAAAACCTCCAAGGATGGAGATTCCACCACCTCCCTAGGTAACCCATTCCAGTGCTTCACCACCCTCCTAGTGAAAAAGTTTTCCTAATATCCAACCTAAACATCCCCCACTGCAACTTGAGACCATTACTCCTTGTTCTGTCATGTGGTACCACTGAGAACAGTCTAGATCCATCCTCTTTGGAACCCCCTTTCAGGTAGTTGAAAGCAGCTATCAAATCCCCCCTCATTCTTCTCTTCTGGAGACTAAACAATCCCAGTTCCCTCAGCCTCTCCTCATAAGTCATGTGCTCCAGCCCCCTAATCATTTTTGTTGCCCTCCGCTGGACTCTTTCCAATTTTTCCACATCCTTCTTGTAGTGTGGGGCCCAAAACTGGACACAGTATTCCAGATGAGGCCTCACCAATGTCAAATAGAGGGGAATGATCACGTCCCTTGGTCAGCTGGCAATGCCCCTACTTATACAGCCCAAAATGCCGTTAGCCTTCTTGGCAACAAGGGCACACTGTTGACTCATATCCAGCTTCTCGTCTACTGTAACCCCTAGGTCCTTTTCTGCAGAACTGCTACCTAGCCATTCGGTCCCTAGTCTGTAGCAGTGCATGGGATTCTTCCGTCCTAAGTGCAGGACTCTGCACTTGTCCTTGTTGAACCTCATCAGATTTCTTTTGGCCTGATCCTCAAATTTGTCTAGGTCCCTCTGTATCCTATACCTACCCTCCAGTGTATCTACCACTCCTCCCAGTTTAGTGTCATCTGCAAACTTGCTGAGGGTGCAATCCACGCCATCCTCCAGATCATTAATGAAGATTTTGAACAAAACCGGCCCCAGGACTGACCCTTGGGGCACTCTGCTTGATACCAGCTGCCAACTAGACATGGAGCCATTGATTACTACCCGTTGAGCCCAACAATCTAGCCAGCTTTCTATCCACCTTATAGTCCATTCATCCAGTCCATACTTCTTTAACTTGTTGGCAAGAATACTGTGGGACACCGTATCAAAAGCTTTGCTAAAGTCAAGGAATAATACGTCCACTGATTTCTGCTCATCCACAGAGCCAGTTATCT